TGCAGGTTTAATGAAGTGCGGTAGATTGGTATATAATAAAATCCTGGATATTTTGGGTGTAATGACTGTGATCTCTCTCTCTCTCTCTCTCTCTCTTTCTCTCTCTCACTCTCTCTCTCTCTCTCTCTCTCTCTGTAGATAGATAGATAGAGATAGATATGTATTTGTGTCTTTCTCTGTATGTGTGTGTATATGCACACTTGCATGCAGATGCACACATAGACACATACATATGTTTATATATTATTTCTGTGTATGTTGACTTGGAGTTGGCTAACCTTAAAAAATCAATTTGCCTTGTCAATGCTTCCTGGAGTAGAATTCCACTTTTTGGTCCTTATCCCAGGTAAGACAATATTTGCAATTGTGCTTTGTATAAAATAACAGATATTAGAATGAATAGATATTGCTAAGGCATTTTAGGTACCTTTGAGTATAAATTGGTTGTTATGGAGACTGGTAAAAATAAATGCTGATATTTTGCCCTGGGTTCATTCCTTCTAGCCTGCTGAAGAAAATTGAACGTGAAACATGGAGAGAAAGTGGTGTTTCATTAATCGCCACTGTAACCCGTCTTATGGAGAGGCTGCTGGACTACAGGTGAGCAATGAATGCATGCTTTACAGCAAGAAATATTATGTTGTCTGCATTTTTCTGAAATGAATCATTTTGGAAAGAATATAAACACATATCAGTCATCAAGTTGTCAGGAATTCTGCTATGAACACCAGTTTTTGTACATTATGAAATGTATTTATATAGATCACCCTACACGTAATATGCAATTGGCGAACTTATGTTTGAACAGTTCCCCACACCATAGACTCCTTATCTATTGAAAGCTTGCATGTGACAGAGAAGACTTATAGTAGAATTGGAATGACATGCAATCTTTCTGTGTTCAGGAAATTCTTCCCTTCCCCCAAATTTTGAGGTGGGATAGTCACAGAAGATTATGGATTTTAATTGTCCATAATGCATAATAAGTTCTAATCAGAACTCTTAGAGTAATGAAAAATCCATATATGAGATTTATACTGGTTGCATTTCATCAAAGCTAGCCCTACTTTTAGGAGTAAACCTACACCTGATGTAGGTGTCATGAAAGGGCAGAAAATTAGTGATTTAATTTATTATTATCATATTTTACTGTTAGGAAGGAAAGAGTGCCTGTGCAATTTTATGCCTATGATAACAACATAAGTTGACTGGCCTTGGGTACAGTATACATGGACTTGAAACTGGCAGGGATGAGGTGATATTTGCTTTTCTACCTTAGACGAGAAAATGTTTTCCCCCATCCCTGATAGTATTGCCATACTATGTAAAGAATGAATTTAGTATCAGATGGCTCCTTTATCACACAAAGAAAACATTCAGTGTTGCCTTAATTTTCTCTGTATGAGGTTCTATAACTGACAGAACTATAAATAGAGGATGAATCATGTTAGACTCTTTACCTGTCTGATCTCTCTAGTTGCATTCAACTATGCTTTCTAAAATGACTAGCTGGACAGGCCATTGTAGCACATATATAAAGGATGCCATGTAGGGGAAGATTGCTCTAAATTTTGGGCATAGCAGAGGATCTTCTCTGGCCTCTGAAAGCTGTTGGCTTCCATTTGTTCCTGCAAGGACACTGAATTTCGTCTCTTCATGCAGCAAATGAGAAAGAATTTGAATCCTAAGAACAGGAATAGCTTTCACGTTCTTATATCTTTCAAGCTGTATTTCATTGCTACCAATTATCTTTTAATTCAATAGAGATTCCAAATATTGGGTTGAAAATTGTTATTGGACAGCACGGAAAGGCCTACATTTAACAGAAAAAGGATTTAATTTGCATTGCCTTCAGGGCAGTGATAATGTTACTGTACTTAATATGATAACTAGTTATACTTTTAAAAACCATGTAATTTGTCATAAAAAATATTCCTATGTGCCACTGTGAGTGGTGAGGCTGAATTGATGGCTTCCTGATGATCAACTTCATGGCAGAGGCAAGATTCAAAACTGGGACTTTCTAGTTCAATCTCTTTATTGCTAGGCTATACCATTTGGCAACAGTGTACATGCCATACTCCAAGTCTATTAGTGGTCTAAGCACAGAGAGTCTGACCGCAATCTTCTTCTAAACATTTACTTTGGACTCTTATCCTTGAACTCAGTTGAATATCTAAGCCCAGCTGCCTAGCATTGCTGTATACCTTTTATTTGAGGTTACTCATGTCTATAGATTGAAACAGAATTCTGATAACCTGAGTTCCAGCCCCTTCACTGTATCTGTATAAGATAAAGATTACAAGTTGCTGTACTATTTTATGTTTAGAATGTAATTAAATTATTAAAGTTCTATGTCTGAAGATGTGTTTCAAGCACATTCAAGGAATTAGGAGTGCCTGACAGGTTTAATAGACAATTTTCTCCCTTAAGCAGAAGCTCTCTCTGAGATATCACAACCAGATTTTGAAAGTCATCTCTACTACAAAAGCAGTCTTTTAGGTAGAACAGAAATTTTTGATAAAGAAACATTAGTCCTAATATACATAAAACCTCATGTAATGTTATTTGAATCCTGGTTTATATTGTCATACAGGGGCCAAATCTATGATGAGAGATATGTGTATAGGCAATTTTTACCAAGAATATTAAAAACATTATTTTAGTGTGAAATTATTTGATTGTCATTATATTTAAGTCTTTTTAATATGTTAATTACTTTGTGGCCAAATGGAAATAATCCTCTAATTTTAGATGATGATGAGTGCTTTCCTTGTACATATTGCTTTATATAAAATGGGATTAAAGGTTACTGCTTTGAGGGATGTACAATGTTCAAATTGACACAAGAAAATAGAAGAAAGGGAGAGAATGAAAGTTGGAATATATGAGGAAAGAATGCATGATGATTGCAGCTGCATATTCCTTTATTTGACTTTAATTTAATTCATGTTTAAACTCATTTTGCATTTTATCTTACTGTTTGAACACATTCTTGAATATGTAGTGTATATGAGTCTCTTAATAAAAATTATCTTGATATATGATTTAATCAGATGCGCATAATTAATTTTTCTGTATAGTATTTCATTCAAATGTTTTCCTTATGCCCAGGGACTGCATGAAAATGGGAGAAGTGGATGGCAAAAAGATTGGCTGTACTGTCAGCTTGTTGGTGTGTATCTCTTTGATTCAGGATATCTTGCTGTTTCATATTAAAAATTTCAAAGCTTAGTTCAGAAGCATATTCTTAAATAGCCTACTTTCCAGACAGATTAAAAGTGCAAATTCTATTGCATGAGTGATGTACACCAATGAATTCAAATCCTTTTTTAAAAGTATAAAATATTCATGTTACATTTGAATATATATTGATAGTCACCTAGTCAATGTCTTTGGAAGTATGAGGGGGGAAAAAGTGCAAATCCAGGAATAAAGGGATATATTATTGGTTATTAGTTTCTACTAGACTTTACTAGAGGAGGGAAAAGAGAACACAGATGGTTCTACTAGCCAGCCCAAAGTTTTTCAGAGCTTCATGGTCCTGGTGGGATCTGAACCTGCTCTCCCCAATCCAATCCTAGTCCTACTTCAGTACTAACTGCTGTATCACACTGACCCTTAAATAAATCAGTGATACTTTATCTACTCTTATCAGAGACTTTTCTTATTTACTAAGTTCAATTTAGTTAGGTAATTTAATTTAATCAATTGATGTACTATATTTAATTCCACGTAGGTTATTTTAAGTCACTGCTGAAGCTGATAAAGTTTGACAAAATGTTTGTGGTCTGCTACAATAAAAAAAGTACACAAAAACAATCCTAAAAATAAATAATATCAACTTCAAGAAGTTAAAGTATCATGATTTAGTATACCTGCCTAACAGAGCGGTGAGAGAATCATAGTTTTCAGGTTATTCTATTACATGGAATTATCGGTTGTCATATTGGTATCATAATTAAAGGTATTAGGCCAGGGTGTACGGCATTTAGTTGTTGGTTTTTTTGGTCAAATCAGCCAACTATAGATTCATATGGAAACTAACATATATTTTTAAATTTATAAATGTGTAATATGATACACATTTACATGGGAGTAAGCCCAATTGAAATCAGTTGTCCTTATTTTTGACTAGATATGAGAAAGATTTTTCTAAAAATGTGACAAATCTCATCAAAACATATAAAAATGCACTTTGTTCTACCAATGCCCCTGTGAGCAACCTATGTAAGAGCTGTTTGTCCTTTGGAGGCCCATAAATGCTGTGGCTGAACAGGAATGTTGGTGTGAGTTTTCAGATACAGAGCCCACAATGCTATTTCAGAATCATTTGTGTTAATTTGTGGTGGTCCCTATCCGTTTCCAAATATTTATTCTAATATCCATATACATGAAAGGAAAAGCCTTTTTCTGCAAAAAAAAAAAAAAAATCAAGAGGAGGCTAGAAACATCCAAACTTGTGCCATTTGTTTGAAGACCCAAACAGGTTGTTAACAGCAAGAGGTTGTCAGAGTAAAAAGTCTGAAGCCTTGGTGACATTTTAATTGCAGGGTATTTTTTCATCTAAGCCGTAGGCTCCAACCGCTCTTTTCTTTCATTACTCTTTCAGTATGAACTTAGCATTTGGTAAATACTTTACCTTCAATCTCATATACCTTTGATAAGATTTTCCTGAAGTATATGAACGTAGGCATGACTTAGAATCCTGCCTCTCCCCTTGGAAGACAATTCCAGTATTTCAGTTCATGAAATTAAAAGGTAACAATGCTAGTTCTGCAGTTCTATTTCACTCACACTATGTAATCTAGTTTTTTCTGGCTATCAGCAAGAGTATTTTTGATGCATTGCAGTGATGCTTGTGGCTCACAGGAATCCTGAGTGAAAGTGGATTTTCTGTAAATATTACGAGTTGAAGTGATGGGAAAGGGAATAATGTTTTTGGAATGATCATAGGGACAAATAGCATTTCAATGCACAATTCTGTTTGATTTAAAATCTTATGGCCCACATTTATGATCACATTTCTACATTTTCTTCTTCATGCAGCTTAGTTCATAAAGATTTGCGTCAAGAGATTTTTTTTAAAAGTAATTTTTGGACAATTCCATGTATAAAAATAACATTGTTATTTAAAATACTATTTGTAATAGATGGAAATTGAGTCGAGGGTATAATGCTCATGATCTTAATCTAGTTGTGAGTAGCATTTTGTTTAGAAATATATTTTTCTATGATGTCTCATTTAAGTGATGATAGAACAATAATTTATTTCAGTCATTAGTTGGTAAGCATGTATGTGTAAAGTAGTTTTAAATGTACTTCTAAGTCAGAGTGCAGAACACAAGGGAAATGGTACTAGAAAAATCCACAAGCAGGAGATTTCATTCCTAGTTATGGCTCTTATCTGAAAAATCCATATCCTTATTAGAACAAATTTCTATATGATAAAGGCTACACCTAGTAGGGAGATGGGAATAGTTCCATCATCACCACACAAGGTATACCTAACTCTGAGTTCAATAAATGTTGTTTTGTTAGGCATATTCATACATAGAGCTGTCTTATGTCATGCTCATTTAACATATGCTTCATTATCAGAGTAATTAATCAACATAAATTCCAAGAAAAAACTAAATAGGTTGATTAGTAAAGAGCATCTAGTATGTCTAAAGCTGGAAGCTGGACAAAGTATTCACCCCCTGTATTCTCAATCATGAATATCACATTTGGCAGGTTTTTTGAAACAAAAATATTCTTTTTGTTTTTAAAAAGGTGGATATGGGAGTGGGAGGCCTCTGGCAGCCTACCCCTAACTCTTCATTCAAATAGCCATTTTGCTCCTGAATTTTGGTGGCATGATTTTGGGAGAGAGGGTTTTTTTTTTTTTGCTTCCTTAGACCATTGTGCTCCCATTTCTACACTTTTAAAATGCTGAAAAATAAAGAAGCAAAACAAGCAAACAACTGATTATATCACTAGCATGTCTCTATTTTGTGGGAGTATGATGTAATGTCTGAGCTTAGGAAAGTAGCCAAGGATTTAAATAAAACTTCTGAAATTTTTAAACATCTATTTTTTTTATCCGCATAATGAGTTCAATATGTTATGTATATATAGTCAGTCATGCAACATGTTTCTTTCTTTCTTGTTTAATTTTTAAAATATAAAATAATTGCTTAATATTTGTGAGAGCACTCCACACAGTCAGTTTTTCTGATTTTACCTCCACCATTTAAGGCAAAACCTTCACATGATTTTCAGGATAGAGAACACCAGAGTCAAGTTGGATGGTTTGCAGAATATAGTTATATTATCTGTTATAATGGTATTTCACAATTTGCTTCTGTTCCAGAATTTTTATAAAACAGAGCTGAACAAGGAAGAGATGTATATTAGGTACATACATAAACTATATGATCTGCACTTAAAAGCACAAAACTTTACAGGTAAATATTTCTTCAAATAATGTGGACAAAATGTTTTTGGAAATATTATTAATTTTAATTTAATTTTAATTTAAAATTTAATTAAATTTTAACTTAAAAAACTAGATCATCTCTGTTATTAGAAAAGTGGGATGATAATTTATAATTCTATTATTAATGTCAGGAAGTGGGAGAAACACATTCTATTCTTCAGCTGCCAAAATAACTTGGTTGGGTGTGGATGATATATGCCATTACAATAGGGTAGAGACATACGTTTTGTGTTCAGACAACAAAACTGTTTTATGCCAGTATATCAGCATATTGGGGGACGCAGTGGCGCAGCAGCTTAATGACGCTGAAAGTTGCCGGCCAGAAATGGCTGAC